ACCATGTCCTGAGTTATCAGGTAGATTACAAGCTTCCTGAGAGAAAAGGACACGCCTCTTTGTATCTCTCATGTGACCTAGCCTGGGCTCCCAAAGATATTACAAATTAAGAAATATTAGATTCCAGGCCAGCCAAGCGGCTCAGTTGGTTAAGAGCTCACTCAAGAGTGCGAGCTCTGAGCAACAGGGTTGCCGGTTCAATTCCTGGCCTGAGCTGAGCTGCCGCTGAACTGCTGCTAAGCTGCCAACAGGTGGCAGGATGGTTCAGCTAAAAAAAAAAAGAAAGAAAGAAAGAAAGAAATATTAGATTCCATTCCAAAATAAACATTAAAAAATAAATAAACACTCACTCAAGTGTCTCCTTTGTGTGTAGTGAGGATGGGAACAGGGGGCTTTCCCTTCTCTTCTACTTCTGTATCTTTCAGCCTAGAGTCCTTTGTTCTTCTAGTATTAATGGTAAGATCTAACTTCCAATAAGTGCCATCAATGATACCTAGAGATCAAGTGGCCAGGGTGACTCAATAGTTATTTGTCCTCTTGTTCCCAAAAACATACCTAGGGCTTGAGTTCAAGTCCACGGTCCTAACCCCACCCATCAGAGCAGTGAGCTACGCTGTGGCCAAAGTTCTCTGAATGCTTTTGTTTGGATTTTTTTTTCCAAAAGAAACATGTTTCTCATGCAGCAATCTTAATAGATGCAACTGGGCTCCATTTCTTGGCTTTGAGGTAATGAAAAATTAATTACCATACTTTACAAGTAATAGTTTCCACTCACAGCATTCCCTTAAAAGTAAATATATCATAAATAGTTACTATTATACCAGTGGCTGGTAGATTGGGCAGCCTGTCGTCCATAAATCCCTTTTCAACCGGCATGTTATTTCTTCTGGGGAACAAACAGATTTGTTTTAGATCAGAGAGTCAACTGACAGATGGCCTTTGTAAAAACACACCATTTGTATAAATAAATTATAGTTTTACTATGGTATTTTGCTGTTGTGGATTTGGAAAAATCAATGCCCCCATTCTCTAGAATGGGTCTAAATTGTAAAGAGCAATTTTGTTTAGGTATGAGGCCACATTGCACAGATCTCCCAACACAGATGCTAGGGTCCAAACTCTCTGTTTGCTTGCTGCCACTTCCCTTCACAATTGTCACAAAGAGCTCTGCCTGGAGGTAACGGGCTGATCTCCCAGAGAGCTCAGGCACCAAACAGAGCAAGATACCAACTGGCACACTTCCCTTAGCTCTGCATTCTGTTTCCATTAAATTTAATGGCACCATGTGCCTTATTTTCCTAACCACAACTTTGCATAATTGGGGCTGACAATATATTTCTCTTAAAAACCTGAAACATTTCATTTTCCTTTACAATATAGTTCATCGGTTAAACTTTAAACATTTGGTAGATTCCTTTAAAATCCAAATCAGCCTTAACTCTGAGCTTACTGCCATCTCAGTCACTACCCATCTTATAACATACACACATGTAATACACACATCAAATATTTATTTACTCATATATAGATATGCATCTATGCACACACATACCCATTCATATAAATCCCCTTTTCCAGAACCAAAGGGTCGGGTCTTAGTATCAAAAGGGACATGCTTTGTTGCCATCTTTAAGAACAAGGACTGGTAAAATGTTTCTTTTGTTAGGAGAGGGCATGTTCATTTTAGCTAGAAATACTAATGGGCTTTGTTGGCATAACGAATGCCTATGTGGCCTTTCTTAGAGGATATTATGTCTTTCCACAAATTATTAAGATCCTAAAGCCACCAGTTCTGATCAAGGAAATAAATATTTAACATTAATCATGTTCACTATTCAAAACGGGAAAGTGCATATTTCTAGCCAATAAAAAATTTTTAAGTCAGGTTGCTTAGTATTTTCCATGCTATAAGGTACATTTTAGAAACTATTTATTTCTTAGAATAGTGGGGTAGCAATTAGTTTGGTGCTTTGTCTGCCTTTATAACCTCAGGCCCCCAACTTCCTATTTAGTTATGCCAGTTGGTGCCTTGATGGAATTAATACGGTGACTAGAATTGCCTAACGTACATTCAAAGAACAGCTTAACCCAATGATTTCCATCTGCTTTTGTAACATTTCCAGGGAACCTCAGGTTACTTCAAATAAGATCAGAAATCTCAAATAAAATTAATCTGGATATATAAATTTTATGTACGTATACTTACATGTGTCAGATATAAATATATACCTATATTACATAGTCCTTCTGGAAGCGGCAAGGGTCAGGAAATTAGTAGGGTAATTGCATACCAAGATGTTAGAAGGGTAAAAACGATCACAAATTAGAATAGGTGTCATAAACTAGATTAGAACTAATCATGGAAAATAAAGACCCACTCAATTCACACAACATCATAAATTCAAATCATGAGAAAGTAAAAAGGTTTTGAGGGATACAATCATGAAGCTGTTTTTAAAATAGACGATTTTGTGGATGAATTACTGGTAGACTTAATAGAATATGAATCTAGTTGCATGGCTGATTAATTTTTTTCATCTCTAAATCATGCTGCATGCCTGTCTCTAAGTGGAGAAGCAGTTCATCCTGCATCTCAATAAAATGTTTACTAGACATCCTTGTCGCTAATGGACTAAACTCACAATCAATACATTTATTCATAATATTATGCACACATACAGGTCAAAGGTTAACAAAATATTTTCAGTGCAATGGTAATCAAGCCTCCTGTAATTAGGCTTTTCGCTGACTCCTTGAGGATATGTATTGGGAATGGTCCAAGGGATGTGACCAATCACAAAATTCCTTTGCTTAAAGTGAATGTGCATATCCCTACCACTAAATTAAGGCAGGGATTAAAAGCGTGAACCTGCCACTTCCTAACTCTGTAACTGTGGGCAACTTTCTCATCCGCTCTCTGCCTCAGTTTCTCCATCTATGTAAAAGAGAAAATAGTTCCCAACCCATAGTTGTTGTGACGATTAAATGAGTTAGTAAGGGGAAAGCACGATGCACATCGTAAGTATTCAACAAATGTAAACTTTTATTATCACTATTTATTATTCACCTTGTCAGAAGTTCCCTGAGCTAGATCATTGCAGAACTCAAGATTACTGATAAATTAATAGTCATGCTGACTACTTTAAATATATTTTAACTACACAATATTATTTGTGTTAAATTTTTGTTCGTGTGTTAAATGTTCAATATTAAATATCTATAATTTAATTACACCTGCATATCAGGTTGCACATTTGTCCCCTGTATATCCTGAGAAGTTTGGAGTTGGTGGAAACTGCATTAGGCTGGGTATCTGGAGATGCACTGGAGTCTCTGCTACAAATTACTTGCATGGCCTTGGCTGAGTCACTTCACCCACCTGAAAACCAGATTTCTTCCTATAACGTAAAGGGTTTGACCAGGTGAACTCTGTGATCCCTTCTATTTTAACTACAGGAGTATCATGAAGCCGACATTCCCTGTAGTTCTCTGAGTTGTGACTGCATCATCTGCTTGAAGAAATGCACATAAAAATGACCACACCAACTATTTTTATTGGGAAGTTACCAGGAGAATGTGAAACTAATATATATTGATGAATTATTAAACTATATGTCAGTTAGCCTGGCGGATTGGGTAACAGGGTAGGAGAATTTTTTCAAACACTCCCAGAAGTCTCCTGAACCCCTTTGAATGTTGACCTGGGCGTAACTGCAGATCAAGAATGGAAAACAGAATTCTCCATAAGAAAGGAGATAGGCGCCTCCTCTAGGAAGAGGAAATTGAAACCATTATGAGATGCCCCAGGGGATCATTTAAAACCCTTTACATATGTGTCTTGGGAAAAGAGGACATTATTCTGACCAGGTTTCTGACCTGGAGGGTACCTTCAAAGACAAAGAACAGTGAGGTGATGAAGAGAGAGGGTAAAAAGAGTAGGAAGAAGAGTGAAGGAAGTCCCAATAAACTGAGACCACTGGGTCCAGGAGAGTGTAAGAAACCATATGAGATTTCAACAGAGAGAGGTTTATTTATATCTTTATCATACACGCATGATCTTGTGGGAAGTCGACTGATTTCTCAGCTAAACACTTGTTTAAAAGGCACATGGTCTAAAGCACTATCTACTAAATACATCAACAGCCCTGATTAACTAGGATAAATCCAAAGGCAGTGGGCATTTGGGCTCTTCCCACTAAAGCAATTGGAGTCTTTCAGTCACCCCAAGATTCCCCTTTGCCAAAACATTTATAAGTTTATAGGGGCAAATATACACAATACTACCACATAGAGAGGCTTTGAAACGCATCCATTTGGCCAATGCTGGAGAATTGTGGGTTTCTCTTTTGAGAAAAGATCAAATTTTTGCCTCTCACAATCCTTTGACTCATCAGGGAGAAATCAGAGGAAGCATGGATGGCTCATAGCAAGTTAGCATTTCCCACTGAAATTAAACAAATTCCTTTGACTCACCCCCCAGCCAGCCATGGAGCCCTGGCCAACATCTCGCGTTACAAAGAACGGCACTGGCTTCCAGTAGAAACAGGGCAACTACTTACTAATCCCATGATCACACCTGATATTGTCCACCACACCGCCATAAAAATATATTCTCTAGAAACTAACAAAAATTGATCCTTAAGACAATAGCCCTGTTCTAATCTTAATACAAGCTGATATTACAAATTAACATACTGTAAAGCAACCAAATTAAAAATTATGGCCATGGGCATAATCTTACCCACCAAAACTACATCTGCTACTCCAAATATTACACAACGCTGGATTCTAAATTGGTCTTAATTTATAAAAAGCCCACAGGCATGGATATAAATTCTCAGTTCTTGTGGCTGTGGCCACCCTATGCTATCGTCCCCGTGGTGGGCACAAACGTTAATGTATTTATTATTATTTGAGAACACAAGATCATCGTAGGTGACATTTTTCGGTTACACCTTCTAAGGCTTCCCCTTAGAACTGCCCGATGAGCGAGCACCCACGCCTTCTTCCACCAAAGGTGGATCCTGCTCACAGGAGACTCTGGATCAAGACCACAGTGCTTCTGTCCCCAGCTCTAGGGTAGGCTCATCTTAGCAAATGGCCCTCGGCGCATCCAGCAGATCCGCCAGCGACGCGGAGGCCGCGCGGTTTCATCTTTAATGCTCCTAAAGGACAATAGCTCATCAAGCCCCACCGAAAGCCCGGGACCCGTCGCGGAGCCTGGGCTGGCGGGGGATGAGGCTGAGCGACTCCTCCTAGAGGTGGTTATGTGGAGAAGGAGCAATCCCTTCTCCCTCCTCCTCCTCCCCCCCGCTACTATCCGCGGCCCGGAGAACTGCCGCTTGCCGCCATTGACACGCACAGATAGAACCTAAAGAAAGGCAAAGAGTCCTGCCCCGCACCGGCACCGTGCGGGCCGAACCTGCGTCCGGGCAGCGGCGCGCAGAGGACACCGGGCGCCGGGAGCAGGCGGCGCAGCACCAGGTGAGCCCGCCATGGCGGTGGCATTATTGTTCGGTGGGCTTAGAGGTCTAGAAACAAAACCCACCGCGGGGGCAGTGCAGGGGCCGGATGGAACCCCCAGCCTCTCCCCGCCGCCCGCGGGCGCACCCCAGAGAGTCGACCTTCCTCGCAAAAAGAAAAAAAAAAGATAAAAGAAAAAAGAAAGAAAAATGAATAAATCAAGCTGCCCAACTTGCTTCCTTGGGAAATAAAGGGGGGACTGCTAAAGAAGCGGTGAAATTCCTGAGGCCGGCGAGGCGCTGGGAGCATCTTGGGCGAAGAGGGAGGGAGGAGCAGGGATGTGGGGTCCAGCGGCTGGCCCGGGACGCGGCTGGACCTGGAGGGAGTGCAGGGCTCCCGGTGATATGGAGTTTGGGGCGAAGAGGGAGGCGGGAAGCAAGCGCCCGGCCGCCGAGGGGGACCGGTCTGGGGCTGTGGGCTGCGCGGGGGCCGAGGGAGTCCAGCAAGGCCGCTCGGGGGTGCCGGGCTGGGCTCCGGCTGCTTCGGGCTGACAATGGAAGGGGCGCGGAGGCGCCGGGCGGAGGGAAGGGACCTGGACCCGGGCACGGGCTGCGCCGGGGAAGGTCAGGCTGGGGTCGCGGGGCGGCGGGGACGAGGACGCGGGGAGCCGGGTGCCGCGGGGTGCTGTGAACCCCGGGTCGGCGCGGAGGAGGGCTTGGGGCCGGGCACTCCCCTCCGGTTCCCTTTCCGGGGCGCCCGGTGCCGACGCGCGCAGCGCTTTCGCCGGGAAATGGCGGCCCCTGCGCTGCTCGCTTGGGCAGCCCTGGGTTCTCGGTTTGCGCGGGAAAATAATAATAATAATAATAATAATAAGGAAAGAGGGAATAAAAGTAAAGTGGTTGTTACGTAGGAAAGGGCTGCGCCGGGCGCCAGTCACGGTGCGAATTTCTTGCGGGGCGCGGCGGGCGGGGACCGGCCCTGCCTCCCGGAGCTCCCAGCCCGCTCTCTAAGAGCACCCTAGTTAACAGCCTCGCCCGCCTCCTAAATCGCTCCCTTGGGTGTATTTCCCCGCCTTTCTTCGTGGGGCGACCCCGCTCCTGCCCTCTTTGTTCCACACAACAATGGTCCAAAGGGCATTGAGCTCCCAAGGGGCCAAATGCGCCTCCTCCAGGAGTTGCCAGTCTCTGAAATGGGCCACCGCGGGCTTGACTTAGGCCGGGTCACGGCTGGGATTTACTGGCAACGGCTAATAAAAAGGGGCCAGAAGAAATGGGCTGAGAAATCAAGGCGCGGGTCCATGTGTGTTTGGGGGGGGTGGGGTGCAGCGGGAACCAAGGCTCCGAAGGCCGGATAGTAAAGGCAGTTCCTGCATTCCAACAGCTCTAGTGAACTGAGGTATCAGTCCACGCTCCATCCAGCCCAGGGGAATTCAAAACAGGGCCCAGGTCTAAGCACACCCCCCCATCCCCCCACCCCCAGACCTCAGGAGCCCATTTCCTTAGGGGCAGTCAGTCCACTATATGTAAATGGTTTCCTCGCTTTTCTCATTCGTGTTTGTGTTGAACTAGAACTGTACCCTCGCTGGGCTGTATAGTTGCTATTGAAACGGTTCAATCCTTGAGAGAAAAAGAAACATTCGTAAGAGCGGAAATGTGTCTTCCTTTATGTTGTTTCTTATCTAGGACCAGTTCCTTCGTGGAACACAAACTAAGTTACACATAATTCTCAATTCATTCATATTTAACTGAAAGTTGTCGCTTACCCCATTGGAAAACTTTTATTTCAAGTAAACATGTTCAGAGTGACACGATTTGGAACCACACTCAAGGAATTTTAGAAATGCCTTAGCCCAAGATTATCATATATCGATAAATAAATAAAGGCACTGCCTTGAGGAAAAGTTTCTCTTGAATCGCATAAGTCACACCTCTTAAAACCTCTTTCCTGTATCTAAATTTCCTTTAAAAAATATGCCCAGTTCTCCACTCCAGGTTTTCCAACCCTGTCACAGTTCCTCCTCACTTGGATCCATTTATTACCATGCTTTAGGTGTTATTAATGGTTTCCTCCATTTCAAAATTCTATCAAAGAATTTACCTCCTTGGATTCAGAATGTTCCAAAGATTCTGACTGTACTCCCTCACCGTTCTATCTTCTGTCTAGTTCCCAGGGAGTCTGAGGCGCCTTTAGTCTGCCCTTCCCAGTGGGTGGGACACCCTGCTAGTTATTGTCTGAGACAACCAGGTCTGTTTTCACTGCCTCCAGCCAGCCAAGCAGGAGGGAATCCTGTCTTAGACAACTTTAAATGAAAGATATCTGTTCTTGTTTGGGGATGGATGTGCAAAAATTCAACCAGCTTTCTTAAGAGTCTTTTTCATTCTTAAGAAATAACCTCAAAGTTAGATGCAATCTTGGTAAATGCTTTTGAAAAGTGTGTTTTGCACAGAAACGAGCAAAGAACTTATGGTTAGAAATCATTTAACAAGCATGTATTGAACACCAGTTATTTAAACACCTCTGAATGAGGGAAGATATGTAAATATGAGGTAGTCACAAGCCTGCTCTAAGAGCACTTTCAATCCCAAGCCTAGGAGATAAGCTACATATGCAGGTAAAACAAGGTGAAAAGTGATTAATATCGGCAAGCTAGTGGGAAAATGGGTACTTTCATATGCTGCTGACAAATGTGTAAATTGATAGAGCCAATTTTGAGGGCAGTTTGGCATTCAAATTAATAATGTGCACCAGCAATTCCATTTCTTGTATGTGTTCTAGAGAAGAAGCAGGTATATTTGTGCCCAGATTATGTAATTCCCTTCCATTGCAGAGTTTTGGTAGTTCTGACATTGAAAACATCTCATGGCCATCAATAGGGAATGGCTAAAAGTAAACTCTGGCACAGCTATCCTCTGAAAAATTAGGCAGCAGTTTAAAAAGATTAAGTAAGTCTATACTGAGACCGAAAGGTCACCAAGATGTAGTATTATGCAAATCGGAGAAACATACATATTGTATGGTACCATTTATGTAAAAACAAAGCTATGTATTTCTATATGTACAAATGCATATGTACATGGACAGGGCGGGTGTAGAACAAGACACCCACTAAAAGAGACAAGAATTGGAGGAATTGTCAAAGAGGAGGTCATATCATTATTCATACCCATCCATAACCATGGTTATAATAATTGAAATTTATATAGTACTTGAATAACTAAATATAATTAACAATTTAAAAGTGATTGATAATATGTAATAAAAATCACAAATAAAATGCTACAACAATTTTTAAAGGGAGAAGAAAAATCTAGGCTGGAAGGGAGGGACTGCGCTAGGCTTCATAGAGAATGCAGTAAGATTTGGAGGGAGAAGGGGAAAGGAGATGAAGCAGGTAGGAGGAAGCCTGATGTAGACACAGAGCTCTGGCTAGCATATAAATTTCCTTACGAGGCTGAGTCTTGGCCTGGCCTGGCCTGGCCTGGCCTGCTGCCCTGCCGCGGTTCTGATTGAGGAGTAAACTAAATGAACAGTTCATAATTTCTTGTATCACTATGCTTCTGTAAATGTCTTAAATTAGAAGAAAAAAAAATGAGCCAATAGAGGATGTGAATTCTAACAATGGTATTGGAAGTTGGCATTTTTAAAAGGAATGTAATGAAGACTTATGAATGGGGAATTTTTTTTTCTCCTGGATGCACCCTGGGATGTATGTATGTTGGGAATTAGGTTGGAGGGAAAGATACGTGTTGAGAAAATAATTCATTTCCTAAAAGAAATCACAAAAGGAACCCCAGCGTGCTTTTGAAACAAATAATTTAAAGCTGGTTTCATTAATTCATTCCCTTGCTTAAGGAATATTTATTGAATGTCATTTGTGTACGCAATACTACGTGCCATGGGGAGTGAAACCTGCAACAAAGTGCAGAAAAAACAGCCCCAGACTGGGGTTTCAGAAGTGGGTATAAGGGCCTGGTTCTAGGTCTGGTCTCACACAGACTGACAAGTTGTTTAATGACCACTGCCCCTCCTATGCCACACCTTTCATTGTGGCTGAAATTAGGACGGGGGACTAAATGGTTGATCACTTAAGCCCCTTTCAGTCTTCGATTCTGATTTTGTGAAATCCTATGATTCTGACATTGCGATGATTGTAAATTCTCAGGCAGGCGGAATTTAGGGAATATAGGATTAGATGACGAGGGACCCAAAAGTGCTCAGCCTTGGGAAAAACAAAACTATTCGCTGTCACGGAGGTTCTCAGTATATTATGTAGCTCTCAGAGTTTCCCTAGGGTCAAAATTTCATCGTCACCCCTTTATACCACCGAGCTCCTAAAAATCAATGAGGGAAGTAAAAAGATGTTGTTGAGTTTTAAGCCTCACATTATCATACACACGATGTCAAGCACTATGGTATTATAGCACAGTTGACCCTTGAACAGCCGTATTTGAACTGCGCAGGTCTACGTATACACAGATTTTTAAAAATAAATACTGTAAATGTATTTTCTGTCAATGTAAGAATGTCCAAACCTATAGAGAATTTTTATGAGTTTATTTGAGCCAAACAGAGGACACACCTGGAAGCAAGATCTCAAAAGACTGAGAAAATGCTCCGGTCACACTTATGATTTTCTTAATAACATTTTCTTTTCTCTAGCTTACTTTATTGTAAGAATATAACATATACGAGTAATTCATACAACACAAAACGTGTTAATCAACTCTATGTTGTGGGTAAGGCTGCTGGTTCACAGTAGTTAAGTTTGGGGGGAGTAAAAGTTACACGTGGATTTACAACTGCACAGGAGGTCAGCGTTCCTAACCCCGGCATTGTTCAAGGGTCAACTGTAGTCGCTTTTGAAATGGAGGGACAATGTTAGCCTGCACTTTGTGAAAATAATTCTCTATAACTGTTTCTTTTGTGGAAATAAGTCAATGGAAATAATAGCCATTGTCTATTACATGCCTATTGCCTGCTAGTACTGTTCCAAGCTCTTTATATGTATTAACCTATTTAAT